GAACCTTCGAGAATATGACGTGTTACTAGCGTCACGTGACCCCCGCTGTCGTAACAATATTTTCAGAGTACATAGTATGAAATATCATAAAACAGTTACACTTTAGTTTTCCCATTGCAGTTCTCCATTAAAAAGATGAGTGCATTAATAGCTTATGAAATGTTACATTCCACTGTTTACTGAGCTAATAGCTCTGTTGGCAACAAAGGAAAGTTATTAATACATCTTTTCTTACTTGAAACCCATATCAAGTAAATTGAGAAAAGAAACTGGAAGTCTTAATGTGAACTTTAATGACACTGAACTAGCCTAAACAGTGCCCAACTAAGAGAGAGATGTTTTTTTTTTGCACAATAATTAACTAATTATACAAGATTACTACCAGTCACTAAGAAGAAGAAATATTAACATTATGTCAATTCCCACCATTATGGCTAGTATTGATAAGAATTATAAAATTCTATGGAGCAAGTAGTGATTGTTTTAACCCATTGGCTGCTGATTCACTGTATAGGGTATGGTCTGCCTCCAGCATTTGAATGCAAGTGTGCATACAACAAAAACTCAGTACATTTTGAGAATATTGATATACAATATACTTTGCAGATTTTGATTTACATACTTGCAATAGAAAAAAGACAAAATTATTGTAAACATGATTTTATGGAGAAATTACATCTCGATTATCAGTTTGATTTTTCACTACACATACAAGTTCAAAGGGTAAAAAATTGCTATATACTTAAGAAACAAATATATATATATGGATAAGAAAAGTACATTTATTTTCAAAAAACTTCTAAAAACAAATATAACTTTATTAGTATAAAATTACCTACAGTTTGCAAACAATAGAGTTTAAAATAGTCACACAATCTATTAGTTACTCCAATCAGGTGTCTTTGAAAAGCAGTTATAGCTTGAATGAGACACCAAACTACTAAACACTGGTCTGAACAATGCAAAATAAGTATGGGACAGTTTTTCTGTGGTTTATCATAGTAAAAAGTCTTTCATATTTTTAGTTTAGGTTTATAGCACTGACTTACTGTGCTCTTCTATTTCTTCTTCTGCAGTTCTCTTTCTACTGATTGGAGAGATTTCTGACACTTGAGGCTCAGGGCTTCTGGGAGACATCACCACTAGAAATTCATACGTTGGTCGAGGAGGAGACACTGTCTGGGGCAAAAGTCTTCCAAATTCAGGATCAATAAACATTTCAAGTGGGTCATTAAATGTAACAGCAACCCTCCTGAATCAAAATAAAAATACACACACATATATATATAAACAGTATCCAACAGTTAACAATGGAAACATCAAGAATTTTGTTCATCTAAATATAAATTTCTATAAAATCTTACAATGAAATAGAAAACAAAAACACATCAAGTACATTAGATCTCATTTATTTTACAGAAACAAAGTAAACTGCTGCTCTTATAAAGAAAATATAAAACCCATTCAAAATTTTTCCTTGTAATTTGTCTTAAAATAATGTAGTACCTTGTTTAACAAAATATTTAGTAATATAAAATCTAGACATCGAAACAACATTCATTAGAGAATTGTTTAACACACAAGTTAACAAAAACAATGAAACATTTACAACTATATCATTTCTAACTTTGCTGAAGTAATACTGAGAAAAAAGCAGTTAAAATAGCACAACATTTTCACCAGCTTCTAATGGTTGGGAACAAACTAACCAAAGATATTCAATCACACACATTACTAAACTCATAAAGCTACATTGAAATTTTACTTTAATCAAGGCCTAGAGTATTTGTAGCAGTATCTCTAAAAACTACTTTAAACCCAGAATAGCAAGTTGGAACAAAAGATTTAAGTGAAAGTAGATTTCACTAAACTTTACTGAAACTGGTGAATAAAATTATAGCACTCCAAAATTTACAATATCTAATTAATTCTGTGGTGAAAACATCTCAAACCTAGGAGGTAAAATGTTTGTATCTGGTCCTTCTAAGATCATTTTGATCAACCTCAGTCTATCCTGAAATCTCTTGACATCATCTAAAAAAAAAAAAAAACAGCTTTGTAGTTTCCTAACTGATATATTCAAAATTTAAACTAACTATTGAATTTATATATTATTCAATTGTATTCTTTGTCAAAATAGCTTAATGGGTCCTATCTTCCAAAATAAACTGATAAATTGCAATAAAATATACCAAAATATATGATTTATTTGTCATGGTTAAAAAACTACTATATTTCACTTTTCTACCTTCCTAGAATTTATTTTTATTCAGGTATATTCTAAATGTTTTAAAAACAATACATGTGTTCTGCATGTAGTTAGCTAATATCTTCATAAACAGGAGGTGAGATGTTACAAATTCTCATATTTGGCAAAGGTTACATATAAAATAACTGTCCTATAAGACTTACACTTGCTTAACTCTGTTATTGTGTCATGCCATGCTGGAGTAAGATCATATCCATTTCTTGGGGTGATAAAGAAACTTATATCAATTAGTAAAGGTTCGGGGTTTATCTCTTCTGAAATAGTAGTGAGAGTGATTGTTGATGTAGGTAATCTAGGATTGTGAGATACAACCCTATGAATGTTATCTGATTTGAAATTGTGGTATCATCATGTTCATTGTCTTGTACAGACGTGCTTCCTACCTGTTTTAATCCCCAGCTGCAGTCTAAGTAGAGCCCCAGCAATACATTTCATTGTTGTATGGATAAAGATCTTATTTAATTGTACATCTGTGTTTCGTTCTTTTCCTTTGTTGTCCATGTTATCCATTAATTAACATTTTCCAAATTTGCTGTATACTGTGGATGCTTGATATTTTTCATTTGGAAATTAGTGTACTGAATAACAAAGACTGATATATTAAGTTACATTTGGATGCTGTGACCAAGGGATTGTTATTGTGAAGTTTATTTTAAATTTGGTTCTATTTTTCTTTCTCTCTCTCTAGTTCTGTAAATTTTGTAAAATGTCAATATTGAAGGATATATTCTGAGAACACATAGAATTTATGGTGGAGAGAAGGAAGCTGCAGTTGAGGTTAGGATGCTATCTAAAAGTGCAGCAAGGACTAGAAGATACCTTTTTCTAGATCAAGTTTTCATGATGTTGGATATACAAGACTGTTTAGTGTAAGAGTTATTATTTAGTGAATTTAATATTTAATGATTAATTGGTTTTCATAACAAGAGTATTAAAAGTAATTATTTTAAAGGCGATAGTTATGACAAATTTTGTTACTAACTTGGTAAGATTCATACGTTGTGTGTGTAGTTCAATTGTTGTCATTTGATGTCACATTACTCAAACCTTCTGTATTTTTCTCGTTGCCTTAAGTGAGTATTGTTATTCACAGAGTCTTGTAGTTTGTAGAAAGTTCTAGGCCTCAGTTGGGCAATATATATATAGGCAACCATGTAAGTGCAAGTTAAGCCAAAAAATATTAAGTTAGTAAAACTGAAGTTAGACTGCGTGATTGTTAGTTTAGCCATAATGGGCAATATTTAAAGTGAGTTTCACAGTTTGACATGGATAAGAATAAAGTTCTAAAGTAATTAAACTCACCTGTGTGGACTTTCACAAAAAAGAAACAATTATTTAAAATTCTGGATACAATTGTGGTACCCCATAGGGTAATGTAAGTGAATCTATCACAAACTGTGCAGTAAGAAACACTATAGAGAAAAATAATTTGTCTTGTCAGTTGAGTTCTAAAGTAACCGAACCAGCCTGCGAGGACTTTTGATGTAAAAAAAGAATTATTTAAAGCTCTGTATACAACTGTAGTAACCCACAGGTAAACGTAAGTGAACTTATCACTAATTATATTGTGATAACAGAAGAAAAAAAGATAATATTTAGAGTTTTAGATACAACTGTGATATCCTATATTGTAAAGAATTTTTGTACAAACATTTGATGTGTTTTGAATATTATATTTTAAAACTAAAACAGTGGATTGTGCTGTCCGTTTATTGATCGAATTTATTGCCAACATGTCACAGACTGTAAAAGAATCTCAGCCCACATATTCTAAACCTAACAAACAAGCTATAGTGAGAGCTACATTCACATCTTCAGTTCATCTTTGGTACTTCCAGGAGGCAAGAGAACACCACAGCTGTTGAGCTCAGTCTTTACTGCTTACCTCTCATGTGAAGAAGTAAAACAATGGATCATAGTGGCAATGATCAATCTAATCATTCAAAGGTTATTTGGATTGTCACGATGTGACTCTTCAATACATTTTGACTAACACAGGCATTGTGAGTAACAAATAACTAGTTAAAGGTGCACATGCAGAGAT